TACACGTCCCATAGCACTCTGTATCAAGTGATCTTTTTAAGTAAAAGTTACCATGCATCAAATACACTTCTCGAATGATGCTGCTTACGCCAATATGAACTATGCCTGAAGTCCATATGCAACTACTGCCGTTTGGACTATTAACCGTCTTAACGTCTACCTTCATCTACTACTGGAAGTGCTCTCAGTGGAATTGATGTATACTACCTCTAAACATTGTATGGTGAACTGGAAATGCATAGATTTAGACACTCACCTTGGTTACATAACCGTGGATACTTACTGATACTCCAGATCGTATAAATAGGCCTTTTGTGGTCAGCAAACCTAAAAACTGAAGAACCTAGTGAGTGGATGTTCGTATCACTAAATAAGAAACTATTCAAATGGAGTAACAACGTCGTCTAGTTATAACGCAAACTTTGAACATTGCGCGCTTTTGTTGTTGATAGTGGAACCTATCTGTGTAATGACAGATGGAAATCCATACCCGTCTCTTGATTCGCAGAAAGTTTTAATAAGTTTATGTATATCAATAACTTGCTATGTGAGTGATATAATTCCCGGCATTATTCTATAAACTTTCAAAGCCATCATTTTAACGGTGCTTGTGAACTGGTATCTGTCATGTTAAATCTATTACATGGGAATAGGAATTTTTATTATCATCACTTTGACGCACTGCATATGCTGAAAGTGGTATTTTCTTTGTCCCGTAATCGCGATCTGATGTTTTTGATGGAGTTAAACGACCTCCCCTCTGTACTATTCAGGACCCGTAAAATCTTGTAGATTTTTCGACACATATCAATGTGATGATGCCTGTAAACTGGCTTCTCCCATGTTAAATTATTACAGTGAGAATAAAAACTTATTTATTTACTTATCTAGAAAATGACTGAGAAACCTGAATACGTGGTGGTCGGAGTCCTTTCATGTCTTTTTGGATGCTGCAGCTATCGTACCACAGTTTAGTAACATGAGCAACTTGGTCGATATTCACGGAGCTAGCACAAGGGCATATATCGGTAATAGGTCTAATATCACTGGTTGAACCGGTGGTTGCTCGCAGTCCGGATTGGGTTGGCGTTGTCTCGACCTCTACGACCTCGGTCTTTGCTAATTTTACCGGGTCAGACTGATGAAAAGGTTCATAGATGCCCTGAAGTGACTGCGGCGGACTTATGAGCTACAGTTTTTGAAAAGGGGACCATCAACCTAAAGATCTGAAAAATCTGTAGCACACGGAGCAGCACTTGCGCTGGCTTACGACCGCCTAGGTGGACGTTGTGAAACACTGTCCATGCTTTTCGTTGGCTGGTCAGAGAGAAAAGTCTGACGCCGCCAGTAAACGCTGGGAGCACAGCCGTGAAACACGAAGAACTCCTACTTTATTGTTACTCGGCAGAGTGAAAATAAATAAGTTGGACCTAAATTCCTGTGAGTTAATTAGCCCTGGGAGGGTGTGAACTTCGACCCGACTGGAGCCTGGTGATGGTCTGCGTATCCGAAAGATTGGAAGCTGAATTGCTACAGCTATCTGCCCCAGAGTAATGATCCTCAGCCATTTTTAGAAAACAGGACAATTGATATGCTGCTATGGCAGACGGTAACGGAAAACGTAAATTTACCGAAGCTTACAACAAAAATAAAAAGACCCGGCTTGATGCCATACCTGAAAAGCAGTGGCGGTGGGCGGACGCATATATCCGAAAACAACTTGCAAAGATAAAGATATCTCCTGAAGTATTAGGACGTTATTTAGCTGATATTTAGATATTTTAAGTAGTTGTTTTGGGGATAGTCGTATTTGTTCCTGCGACTGTGTATTCCATTCATGTGGAGCCTTTGAAGGTAACAATGAGAATATGTTCAAGACAGTGTACCCCACAGTATCCCTAAGCTGGTGCTCTTTCTTCCTTACTTTAATCGAGCACCAAATATGTGTAAGTCATCATCACCACTGCTATTAGCTGATGACGCTAAGATATGGGGAATCATTTTTGATAGTGATGATATAACAGGGCTGCACCCATGCCTGACCTGGAAACACAAAGTTCGAGTGGCTATTCTGGTAGATATTTAATGAATACTCAACCGTTAGTTCGAGTTTAAGGGCAAAGATACTTAGGGTTTATCCTGAGTCACCACCTAAAGGCGGATGGGATTTGTGGTGCTTCTGCAGCCAAAACACTCTGAATACGTTGGTCACTTTGCAGAAAATTCAAATGATTCGACGAAGATTTGTTAAGAGTGGCAGTGTTACCACCAAAGTAACGATAAACCTAGTTCATCTTCCCCACGAAGAGCCTTAAGCAACCTCTAAACTTTTTCGTTTATCTGAAGAGGGGATGTAGACTAATTTAGTCCTCTCGCATCCTGGATGATGACCTCGGCGTTGATTCGTTTGATTTCTGCAACCCCCCCACCCCCCACCCCCGGGGACGGAATACCTCATATGTAACCATAATAGATTAGAAGGGACCGGGAAAAAGATTTTTGAGTAGAATACCGGTTCTCCTGTAGACTAGTCGTAGGCTACATCTCGCAAGTAAAACAAATAACAGCGACACATTCGGTGAAAGAGAAAATTGATCTTCGTAGAAATGATAACTGTAAGGATTACGATGGGTTGATAGCCAACTACCTTGTCCACTGAAAACCAAAGTTTTAGTTTGAGAAATCAGATTTAGGAACATACTATTATGACACAGCTACATATGGTAAGAAAAAGATGAAACTAACCGAACTTCCCGCGGAAAGTAGCCTTGGGGTTCTAGCCAATAGAGCCACCGCACTGAAAATTTGCAATAGAATTTCGAGGTTTTGTCCCTCGTCGAACTCACACCACGATTGCTATAAATAGACATGACATCTAAGATGATCGTGACCCAGTCGTAACTCCAGAAGCTGCTGTGTGGAGAAACTTGACTGTACCGTTTCCATTACAACTGGCAGGCTAGTAAAAACTTTTACCGCCACACACAACATCCCGTATCGGAAGAAGCACCCCAAGCGTCTTTCCAGAAATGGGAAGCGACTTGCGGGTGGGATGGCAGAACTACGGTCCCCCCGCTCCTCATTTGCTCTAAAAGTATAATCCGCCGGATATCATCGACGTCGAAGCTAATATAGATGGTATGTTCCTGTTTAGGAGAGACAAAGGACATAAAAAGGGAGGCCGAGTAGCATTGGATACGAGTGACCATTCCATAAGTGAACGAGCTACTGAAACTGTACTATCAGAGTGCCAAGACCTTGTATGATACAGCCTCATAGTCGGTTACACTAATTACCTAGTATGCAAAGTCTGCCCAACCCCTGCTAGAGAAGTGGAACGGCATCAGCAAATGCCGTAAGTATCCATGGTGACGACTTTAGGGTATGATCAGGTCATCGTAGCAGGGGATTTTAATGTCCCAACTCTCAACCTTGGGCGGGACAAGGCAACCTCAAGCCGAACGTTCGACCGGAATCTACTCACTGCTGCCAAAAAAGATTAGTTGAATGAATGACAGTCGTTGGGAATCGGGTGGGAAAAGCTTTCGAACTGGGTTCCTTTCTTACTAGCGACCTTATGTTGGCGGAAAACGTCGAGGTCCAAACCCCTTTCCGCAGCAGCGAGCACAACGTGGTGGTGTTTAATTCAGCAATCAGTAAACAACTGTCATGATAAGGATATACCCCCTATCTTTGTTACAATAAAGTTAGCTACGTGACTATGAACTCACATCTGTTGATAGCGTCACGACCCCAGGGGATGAGTACGTAGTCGACTAACTAGCTTTGGGAACTAGCGAAGGACATCATTCAGAGAGCTGTCTCTGAAAGCGTCCCAGTGGTCTCAAAAATACTTAGGAGGAGGACCTCATGTCTGAAGCAAGGGAGTGAGCCAAGGGGAAGGCATGGTAGAGCCAAAGGATCTTCAGAAAAGTCAGAATAAAGCGCGTATATGACCCCATGGACTCTATGCAACACCAAAGTTAGGGAGGTTCTGGAGGTCATTTCTGACAGACCTAACCGAGAACCCTGAGGCGGATTCCAATAGCTTATGTAGATTAGCTGCGGATAGAAGGTCCACTAGCCAGTGAGCTTGTGTTATGAAAGTCCAAATGGAGGGAACCTCGCTGGAGTGGAAACTGCCAAAACGCTTAACGACACACAACTAAACATTCCGTCCTCTGACCAGAACCACCAGCCGCCTGAACAACCTTCAGCACCACCCAACGTAGAAGAGTTGTATGGAATACCGGTAAACCGCGCTACGTTTCTTGAAAAACTGTCGAAGCTCCAAGCAGGAATATCACCGGGACTCGCTGACACTCGGCCACTTGTAGTGGAACATGGTGCGGAGGCCATATGCGGCCCGCTCTGTGGCCTATTGTAACACACCTTTAAACAGATATGTGCTTCCGTGAGGGTGACATTCTCTTTCTCTCCTTCAAAAGATGAGACAGGCGACTTGAAATTCTGTCGACTTGTAGCACATCTACCAGTGCTGATAAAACTAATGAAAAGCCTGGTAAACAACCATGTCAGAGAATACCTAGACAGAAAGGGGGCAATGAGAGATGCCAGATACAGTTTCCGAAAGGGATAGGTGCTGTGCCTCGAAGTTTCCGGAAGCCTGTGATAAGTGGACGGTATACTGGAACTTCCAAGTTTCTGTTCACTTGATTTTCATGTATATGCCAAGGCATTTTCCTCAACCTCATGCACCATCCTAGCAAGCAAAACAGCAAGGTTGGATGTTAGTGGTCAGATTCTTTCGTGGATAGGGGATTACTAAACGTCAGAGAATTTTGCACAAAAATCAACAGGGTTTACTCTACTTCAAGGGCATTATCGTCTGAAATATAACGAGGGTCATACCAGAGCTAAAGGGGGGAAGTGGGTAGACCTATCGCATCGGAATTCACCAAAGGTTTGGAAATGTCCCGCAAGACTTAGAAGAAAGTGCGGTGAAATCAGTTGATTTGCACTAGCTCGTCTAAAATATTGAGTATTGGACAGCCTTGGCATTTATGGCGGATACCAAGTAGATGAGCCTTTTCGATGATTTACCCGAGCCTAGCGTCGAAAGTGGTGAATTACGTACGCATATCTTTTTAAAAATCATAACTCTGATTGCAGAAAAAGCCGAGCAGTCAGCTGAGGATGTTAATCGAAAGGAATCGATGTCGATCGGTAATGTTTGTCTTTGAAAATTATCAGATGATTGTTCAAAAGAACTTATTCCAGTACTTTCCTCAGTTATCGCCAGGAAAGGTGAAAGACCAGAAATGCAAGATTCCCATGTGCTGGTGGATAACTTGGCACAACTCATGTGTCGAGGAGTCTCCAGTGAAATGTAATCGAATCATGATTCTCGAGCTGTTTGTTTTCAGAACTAGAGTGAGCTATTTTGCAGTTTTTGATGGACATGGAGGAGCCAGAGCATCTAACTTTGCCTGCAAACGCCTTCATCAACATGTAGCGGCTCGGTTTCCTCGAGGTAGGAAGTGTCATTTACTGTTTAACACTTGAGAATGCCGGTTTCTGAATGTTTTACCTGGACTTTTTGGTGTTAAAAAACTCAGTTTCTCTTTTAATGCAACAATCTAATTTCATAGAAGTTCTTTACACCTAAGTTAGACTATGACATCAAAGGAGTGGTGGACCAGTGAGGTTCAAACTTATTGTTGTAGCAATGAATGGTGGGTCCTTCGACATTACCTTTATACTGTTAGAAGACATTGTTTGTTTTTAATAGTTACAGTTATATTCCTGACTTTATGAAACTTGAAAGTGCACATAATCAACTACTAATCATAGCTCTGTTAGTGTTATTGACTAAGGTCTTTTTCTCGATACGAAGCATCTTGATTGACTTATTTTCACTAGAGGAATCTAGGCGGCTCCTGCTTTTTGAGAGAATAAAAAGGGTTATATCAGCTTCGAAGACAAGTTCCATGACTTGGAGATCCCAAGTGCAAACGATTTAGCCCGTATCTTCTTTAGTACTTCTCATGCTGTACTCTTGTTTCTGAGTAAAGCCTAAAAGAGATCTGTTAGGATAAAGGTATTATGAGTGGTATGATTCACGGTGTTCATATTCCTTCAAAGCCACCAGTTCTACTGCTGCGACTTTAGAGCGGCTATGCGATTCACGTAAGGTCTTGTCGTAGTGTGCAGCTCTTTCCTGAATCCGTTTTAGGATAGCAGTGTCTTTTCACGTAAAAGACATCCATCTCAAAGTTCTGCAAATGCATGATCCGCACACTTGTAAGTCTGGAGTTGTTCACCCCTCCCAATAATTAAAGAACGAAACCCCAGGACGCTACAAACCTTGTTTGCTGCAAGGAGATAGCTAGAAGAATCTGCAAGTGTGTCAATAGGGATAACGTCAAAATCTTTTTGAATGTTTGAGTGAGAGTTATATGTTTCCCTTAAGGAGTAAAAAGTAGACTACAACCTACGTAATATTACTATCTCATGTTTCTAAGTCTAGAGAGAAAACAAGCTTTCACTTTTCCGGCTTTGGATTTCATGCTTAACAGGAAGTCCAACTTATGCAGTCTTGATCAGCGTGGACCTGACATGAATTCTATCAGAAGTTGTCAACTTGGCTACAGAAGACAAAATTTCCAGAAATGGTCCTAATGCTAGGTGAAGTTAACACTCAAATAGCAAAGCTGAGCCAACCGGGAAGGCATCTTAGAGGTATCTAGGACATCCATTGTCAAAGAACCGGTGATCGTCTGTTGTAATTTTGTTCTGACTGTCACTTGTTTCTGGCCTACACTAATCTCAGACATAGGAAGAGAGACTGTCACATGACGTCCGCCAACACCAAACCAACGATGGACACAGATCATATTGCCATAAGCCGTTGGTGAAGGATTGCCTTTCTTCCTGGAGTGTGTGTGGATTTTTATCATGCGCTAGTAGTGGCTCGTTTGGGCCTGCACCTTACTGGTCCAGGAAACAAGTGATAGTAAGGCTGTGAGCTTGATTGGAAGATGAGAATGTGGAGTACGTACTTAGGGAGGAAGTAGCGAAGCACTTGTCTGGATTTGACAGCGACGCTCGTCCTGAGGAAACCTGGTGTGATGTTGTCTGCTGTAGAAACAGTGGTAAAGATAATTGTTAACCTGCACCCGAAGGTTAGAAAACGTCATTGGATTTCCGTGACGTCATCCGAACTGATTGATGCTAGAAGACTGATTCCAGCAGGTTCTGACCACGATGAAAAGCGAGAGCAACTTAAATGTAAGTTGACCAACAGTTTTCACAATGATGGTGAGCAGTGGTTTGGCGGAAAGAGCGAGACATAGAAGACAGTGTTGGGTAAACCCAGACTGAACCACAGTCAGTGATTGCGTAAGTAGAGATTACAAGGAGACAATGGCAAGTTTCTCTTCTCCTTTTACTCCTCACTTCACTGTTTAGTCAGTCAGGGCTCAAACGACTGTCAATTGAGATGAGATCCAGTCGAGTTCACTTCCTGCTATACCTACACCTGCAAAACCAGGATAACTAGCCACCAAACGTCTACAAACTCGAAGAGTAGACTTTGCAGATTCAGCATTTTATTTGGGTAAGGTTAAGTAATTGATCGTACTTGGGTCCTGTATGTGCATCTAGCAAGCAGAGCACACATTCATGGTTGAATATGCCGAATTTTTGATTGGAGACGCTTCTTGGTCTATTTGATGAAGGTTTGGACATAGAGAACTATATTTATTTTGGAGCCTGGTTTAAGAAAACAGAAGACACTGTTTCGTGAACTCCAATCGTTATCGAGAGCTACAGAACTGGAACAAATTGATCATAACGTAAGAGTGTTTATTGGGAAATGTGAAGAAAGATTAAAAGACAGGTTATTTAAATTGGTAAAGATCTGAGTAAACTTTAGTGGTGATTAAGTTGTGAGGGCAGTTGGCATTTCCTTGCTGCCTACACAGTGCAGGGTTACTTCTTAAAGTACCTGAAGAGGTTGGATTATTAATAGTGCGTGACCACAAAGTCGTCGGAACACCTGTTAGAGGCTGATCGCGTACAGCCTTTTTGAAATTTTAAGTTAAGCTTCAATCGGTTTGAATCCAGCTAGAAGAATAGAGCGGATGCGACAAATAGTTAGTCCCGTAAGAGGAAGAGGATAGTAAATATAAGTGTATCAAGGTACTGAATATTGCTTCTAAGGAAAAAGGAAGTAGAATAGATAGGAAGGTCATACGCTTTACTCAACCTAACACGAAACAACTCATAGAACAACTAATTTCCTCACTACTCAATTAGAAAAAGATTTCGAAAACTATGATCTTCGACTCACGAACAAGATCACTGAGCTCTGAGAAGTCAGGTTCTACAAGTCAGCCTCAGAAAGATAATCAGAAAGTTAGATCAAAATTAACGAGAGGAATTGCATCTAAAAGATGGAATGCAACATTAACTTTAGATCGCTTTTTGATTTAAGCGTTAAGGGAAGTTACCTTTCTTTATTGGCCGATTGTGAAAAACAATCTTGCTGAGTGGATAGCTGTAAGTTTATAGAAGCTTTACTCAGCCGTATAACTTCGAAATGCTTAGCCTCCCACAAAGGCTCCCTCTGACCTTTAAAGGTCTTCGTAGAAAGCGCTCGTCAATCCAAAAACATTATATTAAAAGATCATCAATTAGCAAAGGTCAAAATATTAGACTTTCGGATTAGGTTTGAAAGACATTCTTCGGTGAGAGAACTACTCCACAATGCCGAAAAATGTCCTCCCCAAAGACCTATGCTGCTGAGGTGTCATACATAGGATTCCGGAATGTTTGAGTAGAAATCTGCTGAATTTAATAAGATATAAATCAGTAAGATACGTAGTAGATAAAATGTAAGTTTTGTTTTAAGGTTACAAATACCTACCATCTTTCAAGGCATGCTCTCCTCTCAATCATCCATACTTCTAGGTCACTCCAAATAACCTTCGATTCTCCAGATATGGCTAGAGCAACACTAGAAAAATGATATAATAAATTGGATTTTTTCCCAGGAAATTTTAAGATAAGCAAATGGAGACCTTGGAGAGAAATGTAAACTGAAAGGAAATTTAAACACTTGCATCGGGTTAACTTGTGTCTAATGAATGGTTGGTTGGGAGATAAACCAGACTTTCCTCTACTGTATCCGAAAACCATGAATTATGGGTTGATTCTTCGACAGCTTGGAGCATTTAAATGCCCTTGTTGTCGTTTGCTGACTGTCAAAAACTCGACAAAACCAGTCCATTAAAGGCTAAAAGTGCAATCTTATTGGCTAAACCTACGGTTGTTGTATTTACAGCATTATGCGTCGTTAGCACTTCGAGATGCGTAAAATGAGGGTGGTGGTTGAGAAAGCTCTTATTAGCACAGTGGCTATCTGAAATGTGACTCACGAAAGACAAGCTGACATTCACTAAGGAGGGTCCCACATAATTTGGAAGTATAGATCAGAGGGATCGTAAGGAAGGATGACTCTTTACATTTGTCGTCCACTAAAACCCGATGATATTCCCTCCTCCAGAGTCAGCACCCAAGTTGTTTCCTGCTTTGCAGCACAGGATGTTGCGGAGGTTCCTGCTTGGTTAGGATTTTGTAACGCCTTTCATGCATCACCAAATTACCTAATGATAAGATGGGATAATACATTAAAGAAGCTCTGGATTTAAATTTCCTTCAGGTCCTCATAATGAGTGATTTTGACTTTTCGCAACTCTACTACTAATCCACCTGTTCTTGCTTGAAGATCAAATGAACGATTATTACGGGTCCGAATCCTGCGCTTCCTACCGAGGTTTGGGCAGCCAGGTGGTATCACTAACCCTCATACAATGGATGCGGCTCACTGCCTGCTGCACAAATGGTCGCAAGATTGCTAAGTGCATTTCGGGAATGGTTACAGGGGCATTGTACTTCTGAACATGTCTCTCAGTGCACTTTCTTGACTGTCTGACAGTAAGGCATCCAGATTAGATCATTCTCTTACCAACCAGATCATTCATGTGTCCTATTTAATTGTTCTCAGCCCTTTTGGACAGAGTAATCATACGCTTGTTTCCTTTAACATCTTTATATCTAACTAATTAATCGAGAATCATAGGACTAACTACCAAAAGGTCAAACGAGATCCAAAAAGTTCTGCCTGGCATAAGTTTAGCAACTCATTTGATCTGGATTCTAGATGGGGTAGCTAACATACTAGCTTAGGAATTCTAATATAACGTCTGTGAAGCAAGAGGAACACCAACTAGACACTAATCACGAAGGGATTAACTTTTAAAGAATTTTAACGTTTTAAAACCAGGGGCCTAAATCGTAATGAATCTTTGGGAATTGATAGCATTCACCTAAGGTTGCTTAGAGTGTTCCATTGCTTCGTGCGTCCGACAAGCAAAACGCTTCGGATGATCGTTTCTAGAAGGTAGGTTGTCCTTTGATTGGAAACAATTGGCAGTCGTCCTAGTATATAAAGGTGGTAACAAACTTATTGCCTCTGTCTGTAGGCCAATCTCTTTGGTCTTTTCATTTACTAAGGTTATAGAAAGAGGAGTCAGTGACTCAATTTGTGATAATTTACTAAGAAATTCAGTCTTAACTGAGTCTGAACACGGTTTTTTTACCTGGTAGGTCATGTAACACGAAATTACTGATAACCTGGAAGATCTGCATTCTCCACATTTACCTTCTAATCGATTTCCACGTTAGTAGTCAGGCTTATAATGACATTCTAGTCATCTTGATTAAGTTCTCCTGCGAAATGAAGGCGACTGACAAATTTCTAGACTTAGGTTTTGGTCTAGCTGCAACTTGTCAGCAGGTTGTACATGCAATTTCCCATTAGAGATATGCATCCACACCACTCCACCTTGTAGTTGAGTACATAACCACTGATTTATTAAGACTGCTACTGACCTTCAAAGCTAATTTACATTCATTGGTCGGTCACTGGAGAGTGAGTTACATCATGCCAAAGACTGGAACAATGAGCTGAACATTTCGAGAAACAGTTCAACTGGCATCTAACTACCCTTCAGTCGGATACTTAATGGAACATTGGGACCGGCTCTCCAACTCTTTCAGATTTTGGCAAAGGTGGAAGTTACGAGAAAGTACACTGGTTAGTAGCGCTGGTTTTCAAGGACGATGGTTGAAGCTTATTGCTTTTACGTTTTTTGATCGTGCAAATTGACCCACACATTACCCTCATCTTAATGGTCATACTAAATTCTTTTATTCTTCTATTCCTTATTTTTCTCTACCAATGACTTTCTACCACTTTAAATGCTTTCTTACTTCTCTATATTTCGTCTAAGTGCCTTTACTTTGGTGTATCAATTTGAGAAGTGTATACCTAAATCGTTGGAGGAGGTCGTGCGAGGAGGAACTGCGAGCTTGTGGACTGTCGTGGAGTCAGGTCCAAGAGATTTCAGAGAATAGAGCACACTGGAGACGTGCTACTGAATCCCTATGTTCCATTAGGAACCCAAGGGACAAATAAATAATAAATAAATACCTTGATCGTTATGCAGCAACGCCAGGTTCTGTATCGGGAGTGACTCTGGTTTGTTGTTTATTAGCTTTTGGAAGGTGCATCGTGGTTACACTCTGTAAGACCTTCGAAACTGTCGATCAAGCTAATTAATCTGTGGTTATAACAGGGTCGTTTTCGTCCCATTGAGAACTAGCACAATATAAATCAATCAACTAACCGTATATGCGTAGGTCGGTTGTTTGCTGGGATTAAACAGTACTGAATACAACCATTCCAGGTGTTAAAGTATATATTGTTTACTCTCACTACATGAGGTTCGAAATCTGACTTCACAATTTCTTAGTAATTCCACTGCACTGTTTAGGTGTGTGTGACGAATAACTTGTAACCTCATATTTCTTACTATCAACGGTTATGATCTATGACCGTATCGAAAAGTATGGCTCGTGTGGCATACCTTACACCCACTGGGTATGTGGAAACATCTTTAACTCCACGTGTTGCATATGCTAGGGTTTACCGACCTATTTCTATATACTGGCATTCTATAAACAATAAAATAATGCACATATTCGGGTCAATACTTCTAATGCAGTTGAGTTGGGGGCCCTTTTAGTGTTTAGGACCAGTAAAAGAAGTTCAGATTTCGCTTTCTCCTTCGGGTTTGACTTTATTGACATCTAGGTTAAGTCCATGGTCTTTTCAGTTTTTTGAGTGTAACTACCATATGCATACAAAAAATTAAAGTAATTTTTCAATCATTGCGAAAAGAAAAGGCCCGGTTCTGAAAAACTGCAACAATAATAGGGTATTTTAAGCTTAAGTGTTTATAAATGACCCTAAAGGGTCACTCTAGCGATCGCAGTTAGGTTTTTGTTTATTTTGACTGGAAAAGTGGTTTTTCATAAAATGAAGGGGGAAAATGGCTATTTTTACTAGCGCTAGGTTAACTTTTCTTACGTATCTAAATTTCTCTATGAGTATTTCGGTCATATTCGTTACTCAACCTTTTTTTCTTCTTCAGGTGGGACACAACAAGTAGAAAAGGATATTAAACGTGTACTATACGATTCGTATAAGAAAACAGATGAAGAGTTTTTGAGAGAGGCTTGTCAGCAGTAGGAAACCAACCATTACGTTTCACTCATCTTTTTGCGCCCCTTTCTATTTTTGCAGGCGCCCTCATTGGAGAGATGGTAGTACAGCTGCAACTGTTTTATTGGTAAATAACACTCTGTACATTGCAAATCTAGGTGACTCAAAGGTGATTCATTTGTTTTTTTCTAACTATTTTGTTTGATTGGCTGTTGAATTATTTTACTAGTGGAACTCAGCTATCTGTGTCTTTTAAAAAGCAATCATTGTGGTAATGACTGGTTTACTTTTAGCATCATATAAGCGAGTCTTAATAAGATTTTTTATATATCAAGTGGACTTTTGTGATCCAGAAACACCGATAAGATAATTATGATTGGATTTTATATTCGATTTCACTAAAAGATCTAACTCAACTGACAAACTCCCTCAATATATATATATATATATATATATATATATATATATATATATATATATGTCGAATATAAACTCCGATCACAATTACCTTATCTGTGTTTCTGGATCACAAAAGTTTCTATATTCTTCATTTCCAGTTCGAATATAACTCGTTATAATTCTAGATAATGAAGTGCTTAGTTCATAAGACAGTAATGTCTGACTTGATTTATTTCACTTGGAGTTTGTCGCAAGTAAAATTGAAATTGAAATTTAATGTGTGCATGATGTTTTAAGAGCCTTGCCTAGTTTACCAGTTCACCAGTTTACTAGCCGGTCCTAAGCCCGAATAGAAAGGGAAGGTTGGGCATAGGGCCAGCAACTCTACTTCGTAAAACCAATCCAGTCCCTAAAGAAACTTCAAAGCACAAAGAAATTATAAAAAATAAAAACAAACCTATTCCTCGCTGGAATCGGAGGGAAGAAATGACGCTGGTTGGTGAAAGCCTTAGGGAAGCCAGTTGGCCAATATGTCTTCTCTTCTCTCAATGAAAGCGAGGGTAAGAATGGGGAAATCGAATGTCCGAACCGTGTTTGAAGCTGGCTGGCAAGGCTGCTCAGATTGTAAAAGAAATGAGAAGATATAGTACAGAGGTGCTAGGAATCTGCGATAACAGATGGAATGGAAGTGGACTCTGAGCCGTCAACTGAAGAGTCAATAATCTACTCCGATATTGTCACCCAAACGAAAACCACGAGCACACAGAGGGAGTGACTATCATAATTTCCCCACGAACATCGAAGGCTCTCATGCAGTGGGAACCAGTCTCCTCTAGGATCATGACAGCAAGATTCAACTCAAAAGGACGGAAAGTCACAGTCATTCAGTGCTACGCGCCAACAAATAATGGAGATGAAGAGAAGAAGGAGGAATTCTGCAGACAACTGCAATCAGTACTGGACAATGACTCCAGTTGGCGACATCGAAATTCTAATGGGTGGGGTAACATGAATGCCAAACTGAGGGCTTGACAGCACAGAAAGAGAATTGATCAGGGACCGAGAGTCACTCGGTGAAATGAATGAGAATGGAAAACTGTTTGCAGATTTCTGTGCATTCAACGATTGAGTGATTGGAGGTAGTATGTACAAACAAAAGGATATTCACAAGGCAGGGACATTGATTTGATTTCACCAGATGGACACACTAAAAACCGGATTGACTCCATTTCAATGTGAAGAAAGTGGAGACGCAGCCTACTGGACACAAGATGAAGAAGGGGAGCATATGTAGGTTCAGACCACTCACTGTCTAGTGCAAGGAACTTTCAAAGTCAAATTGAAAGCCTTCAAAAAAGCTGGTGATAGACCACAGTTCATGTTCAACACCCAGAACGGAAACTGAAGGACGAAACTACAAAGGACATCTTCACATCAGCCATCAGGAAAAGATGGGAGACATTGAGCAACATTACTGAGAAAACCTGCACGGGAGAACACTGGAACTCTTTGAAAGAGATGTGGAAAGAAACCTGCATAACCGTACTAGGAGGGAAGAGGAAACAAGACAAGGAATGGATCTCGACGAACACATGGAAGCTGATAGACGAGAGGAAGATGGTGGGCAGAAGTTGAACCAGTGCAAGGATGCACAACGGAAAGAAGCACTGAGTACAACGTATAAAACACTACACTGGACAAAGAAGTGAAGAAGAGTGCGCGCAAAGAGAAAAGACACTTCTACGACACATTGGCAAGTGGAGCGAAACAGGCTGCAGGTAGGAGAGACAGAGACCTGACAACATTATGTCAAGTGACCAGGTTACTATCCGGGAAGAGATCAACGCAGACGAAACCAATGGAAGATGGTGAGGGAAATTTAGTTGCCAAGGGGAAGAAACAAAGGAAACGATGGGCTGACCACTTCAAAAAGCTCTTGAATCGACCACCACCACCTGCAACTCGTCCAGAAATACCACCAGGAGTCACAGAACTATTAGTGAACACAGTCCCTCCGACAACAGCAGAAGTCCTGAATGCCATAAAACTGCTGAGAGTCGGGAAAGCAGCAGGACCAGATGTTGTTCCACCAGAAGCACTCAAAACAGGCACAGAGACGACAGCGAACATGCTCACACCACTTTTGCAGAAGGTTTGGAAGGAAGGAAAAGTACCTGCAGGTTGATTGGAAGAAGGGTTACCTTGTCAAACTTCCAAAGAAGGGAGACCTAAGTCTTTGCAAGAACTGGCGAGGAATCGTGCTCCTGTCCCTGTCACTCCAAGTAAAATATTAAGCCGCATCATCCTGAGGACACTAAAATGTTCTCTGGATTTAAAATTACGACCGAAACGGGCTGGCTGGCTGGCTGGATTCGGGAAGTACAAATCATGTGCGGATCAAATTGCAACGCTACGCCACGCATCATCATAGAAGGGAGTTTAGAATGGCAGTCAACTCTCTACCTGAACTTTATTGGCTTTGGAAAGGCCTTCGACAGCGTCAACCAAGAAGTAATTTGGCAGCCAGCTGCTTCAGAACTACGGTTTTAGTGCCATAAACCTTTATCAACCTCATTCAACTAATGATACTATCTGGCTGCCCGGACCTCGGTAGGTAGGGTAGTGTTCTAACTGGCGACCCTCTGGCTGGTACACCAAGGAGCCACAACTCCGGATTATTCTTCAGGTTTCATTCAGAAGACATATAGTCTCTGTCTTGATTTTAGTTTGGCAACAGGCTCACCTGGCGGTTTAAACAGAAAGAAGGGTGTCACTTATCCCCATCATGTAGTGCAAAAGATTGTTATTAGTTAGGTAGAAATCTGTTGATCTGAAAGTGAGTGGTCAAAATTTGGCTCATGTTTCGGTTGAGGTAAACGAATAGTAACATTTTGCAAATATGTAACTGACTACCGTCCATTCCAAATTGTTGTCTGTTATTGAAGCAACCTATGGTTTCAATTATCTTGATGCTATGCTTTTTCAATGAGGATTATATGCTGTGAAGAACACCCCTTTTTTGAATTTTTCTTCCCAATGACATTTCAGAGTTTTCTTACTTCCTGTCTTGATGGCTCCATAATATTTTACTTTACTATAATAACTTCTTTTACATCAAACTCAAACTCTACTTATATATAGTCGGCATAAAACAACTTGGTAAAACCTATTTCATTAGTATCTACGAATTAAAAATATTTACTGAGCTGATTGTAAATTTCAGACTGTATAAAGCAATCCTCATCCTGGGGAAACCTGCATTGATATTGTCTGCTTTAGAAACAGCAGTAGACAGTTGGTAACTTATATCCAGGGGTTACCAATGGTCAATCTATTTCCACAAGCTCATCTAAACTGATTGATGCGAGAAAGCTCATTCCAGCTGGCGCTAACTCAGTAAAGGATGGAAGCAACTCAAACGTAAATTGAACAAGAGTCTTCCCAAAGATGGCGAGCAGTGGTGGGCAGCGAAAGCAAAAGAAATGCAGAAGGCATCATCGGTATGTAGCATCTGGCAACTACTCGTGTTTATAACGGATACTGGCAAGAAGAAAGTGATCGCTGGTAAGACCGTCACGTCCAACTCTCCTCGAAGTTGAGAAAACTGTGTCAAACCTGAAACTATGTAAAGCAGAAAAACCTGACATTTTTCCACCACAAGTTTTTAAGGAAGGAGGTAGGAAATTACTGAGCAGAGTAACCGAGACACTAGGTAATGTATGGGAATCGGAGGTAGTCCCTTCGGAATGATCCACCTCACTGGTCATTCCAATCTATAAGAAGGGAGGGAAGTCTTTTAGTTGACAATCATAGATGGAGGAGTCGGTGGAACTGTGGCTCATTGGCTTAGGGAGATGACTCTTAACTAGTGGGTCACGAGTTCGAGCACCGCTCCATCTACCAAGGTTTAAGCATTCGGATAGTATCGTTAGCCGTCACACAATAGGTGTGGCTCATTGTGTACTGAACGAATGTGCACTGTGTTGCTGGGTGTCATTCGATTTTCTTTCATTTCAGAGGAGTCAGTTTGATTAACATCGTGTCCATATCCCACATACCGTAGTTATTGAATTTTAACAAGCTCGAGAACATCAGACTAAAGAAAATCAGGCATATTTTAGACATGGACTAGAATGCACCTACCAAATCCTCACTCATCATCATCATCATCATTATCAACATAGGACCAGGCATTACTGCGTAACGGTCCGAGTTGCCACACCTCATATCAGCACATCAAGTAAAAAGGTAGTGAGGTGAAGGATGAAGATAAGTGAATGCAGTCAAAAGAAATATAAAGTACGAGAAGAAAGGAAAGAGGAGTGACAAAATAGTGAGATTCGGTATAGCGTTGTTAAGATGAGGATAATGTGTGTATACATCTGCGCCACTGACTTCGGTTCTGAGCCATATCACCTAGGGTCTCCAACCACTGGTTCCTCTTGTCCCGTGGACCCCAACCACCTAGTCTGCATCGTCCTACATGGCTTAAACCAACAGTCAGAGACTTCATACATTGGTGCCATGTTTTAGTCTGGCCACCTCGGGCCTTTTTCCAGCCTGAACCCACCTCAGCCAACATTGTGTGACGAGGCAATCGGTGACTAGGCATACGTAGTACGTGTCCCAACCATCTCAGTCGATGAAGGTTCACAACCTCGTCGACTGACTTACCTCTTCTCCCCAAAACTCTACACCTAACTTCTGCATTACTCACATGGTGACACCACGGAATACGTCCTATACTACGAAGGCAACGGTGGTCAAACA